TTAATTCAAGTAAAAAAGAAATCAAAAATATAATAAATATCTTCATTATATAAATATTTCACAACAAATAATCTCTGTGTTCAAAAGTCGTATTCTTCTATAACAATCTCTTCATCAGGCAATATCTTGACATTTTCATCTGACATGTTAGTATCATCAATTGGGTCGACCTCTTCTCTCCAAAACAAAAGTGGTCTTTTTCATCTAACGTCTTTCCCACTTGGCTATTAATATATGAAATTTTACAACAATAAAAGTAAGTATTCATTAAATCAATAGTAATGAAAACGATTATCAATAATGGTGAAAATAAAGATTAAAAGATAGAGAAATGATTTTTTTTTCCTTTTTGAAAGATATAGAATAACTTTCAATTTAGAAAAAGAAAACATCCTTAAACTTATGTTTGTTTCTCATTAAATTAAGAAAACTGAATTGAGAGAATACTACTAAGTATAAAGAAGTCATTAGTAAAATAAAATTTTCAGATAATTCTATATACCTTGCACCTTCGCATTGTTTCAATTTTATATTACAAAATTATTTGCAGTAAGAGTAGGGGTTATTTCCTGAGCATATTTGAAGATTTTCTTAAAGTTAACAGATTTTTTTTCTAATATTAAAATCAGCAAACACAAAACTATGGTGAAAATTTTAATTACTTTTCTTTAATTCATTTAACGATATTAAATTAAATGAAATTTAAAAATTTAAGAATTTTTTTATTTATTTATTTACGGATTTTTCTGAAATTTACATAAAATATGACTTTTTATCTGATATACATTTTGTGCTTGATATATGTGCCTAATTTTGGGAAAATGAAGATATAGAAATTTTGAATATAAGAAAATGAAGATTGTGCTGCAGATTGACTCAGTAAATTCTGCTGTAAGGTATATAAGTTGCACTGCAATGCCATAATCAAAAATACAAAAGTAATAACCAATCAGAATTTTTAAATGAAGGAGTACATTGCATAAAACAGATTTCATAAAACAGTTTGCAAGAAAGTATTTAAAATTGATTTAAAATGGTTCTTAAAAACAAAATGCAACTTTCTAAACTAGCTAACATGCGGTGAATGAAATTATCACTAAGTTACAAAAGTTAAATTAAAAATAATGTAACTCTAGTGAAAAATATCAGAAAGTCTTTTTTTGAGTAGGGGTGTACGTTGAAATGATAATATTTGTTTTCTTGGAAAGGTGTGTTGTTTATGAAAGAGAAAAATCATTGATCTGTCTGGGTTTTTTTAAGAGGTACCTATTTTGTGAAAATTTAAACATAATTAGTGCAAATAAAAAATTATATTTAAAAAATCAACACAAAAATATGGTAAAGGAAGAAAACATTTTCAAAAATTGTCACTACAAATAAAAATCATTTATGACTTATTTCTATATATTTTTCCCTATATTTCAAAAACAATTTTGGTATTGTAAAATTTTGGGCTAAAAGTTTTATCTAAATTACAAAAGGCATAAATCTGTAAAAAATCATTGTCTATAGTAAAATTTCAACTTGAATTTAATAAAAACATGCATTTAACAGTACTAATACTAAAAGTTATTCTAATTATGTGAACATTTTCCTCTGGGTCATACAGATAAAAGTTTTACAGAGAAAAAAATATTAGAAATGTCAGTTAAAAGAAATTTACAATAGTGTTTAAGATAATGTTCGAATTTCAACTTCTTGTAAAGCTTACAGAGGGTGAGCCTCGCGTTTAATTTTAAAAAACTCAGCTGGAAAAAAATTCGCTTTGATATGGCGTAAACGACTGATTTCCCACATTGGCTGAACACATGCTACCGTTTTGTAAAAGACAGCTGGCAGGAAAGCTCTTCTTTTCCATAGATAGCAACAAGAACACGGGTTTGCATGAGAACTTGCTTTTTCATTTGTGAAACTGCCGTTTTTCCTACAGTTGAATTTGTGAAGGTACCGCTAAACGGTAGGAAATTTACCCTGGACAGACCCTTGAGCTCAGTATTTATTTAATATCCATAAAAACAATACAGTATAACCCTACAACAACACAGAATTCAATACAAGTTAGCGTTCCAAAATCGTGCAATTCTAAGATGTATTTATTACTTAGTTCTATATATTTAAAGAATAATTAATACATTTAGGTATATATTTATAAAATAAAAATAAAAAATACCTTGGCAAATATACTAAATTAAAAAATATATGACACTAAAATTTTATACTTTTATTACAAAATATATAAAATTGTATCTATTATTTGAAATCCAAGTTCTAATTTTTGGTTAAATTAGAACTAATCCATATTGCCTTTATAGACAACTGCATTTAAATCCTTAAAAATATTTTCTCACAGCGCTTCTGTTTTGAGATTAAGCTCTTTTGTTCTCCTATACGGTTGATTTTTATGTTTGTACGATTACCTACGGTTATGTACGGTTACTTTCTTATGTTTGTATTGTTTAAAAAATGGTTCCAAGGAGTAAAAAATAAAGATTTGTTAAATAGCTGCAAAAAACAAAAAAAAATTTAAAAACTATCATTTTCATATTTCAATCATAAGATCCTTATTTTCTTGAAGAAATCTTAAAATAGTTTTTAATTTAAGGGAAATTGTAATGGTTAGCACCTCTGAAAACAGCACAGGGATATGAGTGTGATGCTATTTTCAACATTTGTTTTGATGCCAGTTGATGGTACATTCAGAAGGAGTAGGTGTGAACAAATTGTGTAAATATTTTCATAAATAAGTAGACATTCAATTTCAATATGAAGATGAAAGAAAAGCCATGATCTCCAAATAATCTGCTGTTGAAAAATTTAGTGTTAAGAGTCACGATTCTGAGAAGAAAAAGAATGGAACAGTCTTCTTCTCTCACTAAAGATAGCATTATCTCAATATATTTATCATTAGCGCAACTTTATATTTCATTTTACAACCGCATTGAACAGTCAAGCCAATTTCAGGTTTACAACCATCAATGCTTAACTATGTTTTCTTGTAAATTTTGAACCCAACCCAGAAGACAAGAAAACTCCTGGATCAAACATTGGGACTAACCAACCCTTGTAATTGCACACAATTTTTGCACAAAACTTAATTTATATCCTAAATTGAAGTACAGTGTTTCAGAAGATATAATTTTCAATATTTATAAAACATTTTTATGAGAGTGTAAAGACAAATGTATCCATCTAACTGAAAAAAGAAAAAACACAAAATTCTTCAAAAAAGACAATCTTTTACAAGGTCTAACATCAAAGCAAATGTACTACATTAGAGAATAAAAAGAAACATAGTATACATACAAGTACAAAGTAATAGCAATTGTATGTGGTCACCTTTAAGACAAGTTGGAATATTTTTAGATTTAAAAATATTTAACAAATATTTTTCCAAAATATAATTTACAATTATATTAAAAAATATAATTGATAATTTTAAAACTAAAATCAATAACAATAAAAACCAAATTGAAGAGATTTTAATTGTTTGAAAGAATCAGGGGTGATTTTGAGCCGAAGTAAAAAAACCTGAAAATTTCTTGAGTAAAATCATTAATGACGTATTTCAAAAAATAAATATCTTTATAAATTTAAATCATTGATATTTTCACAACATGAAATTCTAAATAAATTATATACAACATAATTTAAATTAATAATTCTGTAAAGAGATGCCAAGCATAAATTCTAGTTCCTAATATTTCTAAATAAATTATACAACAATTTTTATGCATAAATGTGATCAATGATTTCTTGAAATTTCTAGATCTTGGATTTTATGAAATTTTCGGATTGCGGTAAGCAGAATCATCTCTGAAGAATATTGGACTTAATACAGCTTAATTTGTAGATTGCATCACTACAAGGTTTTAAAAATTAAAAAATTAACATAAAATGATAATTAATTACCTAAAAAACTTTTTTATTTTCATATCTCCTAATTCTTTTGTTAGTGTTACTTGAGCTAAAATAAAAAAAAAAATAAAACAAATATTTTTAATCTATTTATTATGTTGTTTTTTTTCAAATAGAATATTAAAGTGTTAATACCAGGATTTAAATCCCTTATTTGCAATTTTGAAAGATAAGGAACTAAGTCAACTTGTAGCTGTCTCATACTAAGAGAAGAGCCTGAAAAGAATAGGCAATGCACTTAATTCATAAGCTATAAAAAAATCCAAATTGAACAATAAAATATAAATTAGAAAGTTACCAACATTTCATAACCATAAATACCCATATCTGCCAACATGGATAGGAATAAATCCAGTAGATTTTACGAAAAAATAAAAATTTTATAACTGTTCCATAATTTTTTAACCGTTTTGAGAAGTTTGGGATTTTATAGTCATCACAATACAAAAACTTTATTACACTAATAAAGTTTATTACACTATAAAACTTTATTACACTAATAAATAGTCTGCAATATTTTCCATTTATGATTAATATTAAATGAATTTGAAATGTTTCTTTTTATTATTTTTAACATCTATTTTAAAAAGACAAGTAAATCATTATTGATGATTAAAAGATTTTACTATTTAAGTACAGAATAAAACAAACTTAAATTTTCAGAAAAAAGAAAAGCTTTAAACTAATTACAATAAGTGAGTCTCGTTCCATTATGCACTAGCAATACTTATTTAAGTATTCAAACAAGTGATAAATTGTGTAAAAATTCTATTCCGATTAAGGATATTTTTCAAAAACTTAATCAATTATAGGGAATTTTCTAAAATGTACAAAAACCAGGAGAATTTTTATTATACCAGTAGACTTGGGAAAAAATGGCAAAATCCAGTAGTCGACTGGTAAATCCAGGAGAGTTGGCAGCTATGAATACCCATTTTAAAAACATCATCATCATCATCAATGGCTCGACAGCCCAGGGTGGGCCTTGGCCTTCTCAAGAAGTTTAAACGAAGTTCAAGTGAGTTTAAACTTCTGAAAAAGTTTAAAAACATACAAATGCAAATTTTGAATATTTTAGGTGGATCTAAGAATCTAGTTAAAAATTTCCAAAGTCTAAAAAAGTTAAAGCTTTCTAGGAAGATCAATGCTTCCTAATAATGAAAAAAAAAACCTAGAAATATTTTCTCTGAGAATTGTAATCTATAGTAACTGTTAGGTTATTTTAAAAGATTTTGAGCAGAATGAAACTTTTTAGAAAATTATGTTATTTATGCCCATGCAAATTTTATATCAACTATAATGCATGGAAGAATTAGTGGCTTTTGGATTTGGCTTTGGTTCCTCTTTGAATTGTGGCATTGTAATATAGTGTCTCTTTTATTATTAGAAAAAAATAAAACTATAATTTCTTTCCAAGAAAAAAAAACTATTTTGAGAGAATTTAATGAATATTTACAGTTATATTGTTTTCAAAACTCACAACATAACAGTTTAGACAGCAATGAAGCATTGACTGTATTATTATTGCAGGAAGCGTTGTAAAATTTTCCAACAATAAATAAGCACCTTTTAAGTACTTTTTAAGAGTTCAAAATATATTTTTAATCACTATATACATTAACAAAATGCAAAATAATTTTCAAATTTTACATGATCATGATAAAATAACCAGTTTCTGACAACAAACTATTTTCTTGATTATATTAGCTTTTATAAAAAGATCAAGAGTTTTTCCAGTCTGATATCAAGTGATGGAGAATGAAGTCTAAAATTGAGAATATCTAGCAAAATGCAGCAGAGTTGCACATGAGAGAGCAAGAATGTCAGTGAGCCCAGCTCAGTAGACGCACATGCAGACCCGCAAGTATTTCATCAAACAAGTAAAATGATTGGCGCTTTCATACGCTATATCAAGGGTACATTGAAATGGATTGTGGTTGAATGAACTGTGAAAACGTTGAGTAGAATAATGTGAAAAACACGCTTCTGCATAATAGGCGGCAAAAATCGACAAAGTAAAGAAAAAAAAATCTGATTTTTGAAAAGGGAAAATTAAGCAGTTTTTAAAAACACTGAATAAAAAAAGCATCTTAAGGACCTTTAAAAAAAGAAAATCAAAGATAAGCACCTTTAAGCATTTTTTAAAAACTCTATGAGCCATGTATTAAAACAAAGATAACAAAATTCATTTTACAAAACTGCAATTAATCTTCAACTACTCACATAAGTACAGTTAAGATATTTTTACTAAGTGGTAATGCTGGAAGCAAGTTTATAATTTTTCTTTAAAATAATAAAAAATAGGAACAAAGTAACGATTAAAATAAAGTCTTACCACTAAAAGCATACTTCAGAGATTTTTGCAACCGCCTTTGCTGTAAGATAAAAAAAGAAATAATAAATAAATAAAATTTTTAAAAAATGAAAGCAGATATAAAATTACAAATCAATAATTTTGGCAAAGAATCAAGGAATCTTCATATATACCTTAGATAAATTTTCATAAAATTGAGGTTTGTGCAGTGCTCTCCACCTCCTATTAGTCACAGAGGACAAATTGAACATCAGACCTCTAGACGCCAAAGACACCATATAATCATTCATTGTGTCACGACTCTGAAACAAATATATACATAATTTACCCCAGAATAATGGTAGAGACAATTTCAGTTTTTGACTTTTTTTTAAATTTCTCAAGGTTTTTAGTTCAAGAGATTTTTTTTTTATACTTAGCTATAAAGCTTAAAGCTGTCAGAAGTTTGAGAAACCAACAATAAATTACAAAAAAAAGGATTTTTTAACACCCTATGCCAGAAAGTCAATCAAGAATCTTGTAACTTGTATGGATTATTTTGGTTGTTATTTGCAATAACAGCATAAAATTTCATAAACCTAGCCTAAATATTTATGGAGTTATGGACATTTTAAAAAAAATTTATTCCCTTGTCTTACGTTTTTTTTTTTTTTTTTTTTTTTAACTTCAATTTTTAATCATNCTAATATAATTAAACAAAATTGTTAGAGAAATTTAAAATTATTTACAAAAATATAGATTTAAAATTTGAAGAAAAAAAATCAACAAAAACTACTTAAGATATGAGTAAGACCCCTGATGGTAAAAGAACAAGAGGAAGACCCAGACTTACCATCCAGCGCATGTTTTGGGGCGAATTAAAATAATGTAGAATATCTGGCTGGGAGGAAGCAAGATCAATTGCTAGAGACATGAGGCGTTGGAGGGATATGCTAGAGGCCTTAAGTGCCTAAGGCACGTAGAGGATAAGTAAGTAAGATATGAGTATTTAAAGTAGTTCGCTTATATTGCGCACACACAGAAAATTTGAAAAAAAAATTCTTATTTTTGTAATAAATTGTATTTTGGCAACTAATGAAAATTATCTAATTTAAATATCTTAAAAATTTTAAAAGTGTCTAATAATTTTCTAAGTTGTTTTTATATTTTTTAAAAGAAAGCTCAAAATGATAAGGATCTTTCCACAAGTTTCATTTTATATTATAAAACAAGATTTATTAAAATTGATGTCGGAAAAAATAGGCGAGACTACAAAATAAAATTTGTGAAAAACGCTAACCTTTTGTGATTTCTTTTAAAAAATTACTTAGAAAAATGCTTGAGATTTTTAAAATTTTTAAGATATTCAAATCAGTACTCTTTTCATTAGTTGCTAATTGCGGTTCACCGCAAAATCAAGGCCTCCATTAAACTTCGGGGAAAAAAATTTTGACTTTTTCAGGTGTACCAGGTAAATTTCAATTAAAATCAAGATCATATTTTCCTCGGAAAACTTTGATTCTTTTATCTGTAATGTGAAATATTTGATTTTTTCTGTAAAAAAAATGTCATTAAATGAGGATGGGAGTATTTCAGTTTGACTAAAATGTGCAATTTTTATAACAAATAATAGATGTAAGAATTATTTAACTTTAATCTCAATAACTGATTACTGTTACGGACAATTTTAAGACTGGTTATTTTCCAGGCATGATATAGAAATTTTCCAAGCTTTTATAAAGAAAATGCAGCGTTTTCTGACTATTCCCTGATTTTTAGAGTAAAAAAAAAATTCCGTAACAATTCCAAGCTTACCCTGAGCTAGGGGAACCCTGAAAATTATGAAGAAAAAAAAACAGTTTAATCGAGATCCCCACAAAAAAAAAGAATTAATAAATTAAATATTTAAATAAGTTGTTCTTTAAATATTTTGAAATAAAGGCAAAGATCATTTCATCTTCAGACAAAAGAGAAGAGCAAGAAATAATAATTTTTTTGTGATTAGTTTTTCTTTAAGTCTTTCTTTAGGAAATAAAGATTAAATTTAATTTTAATAACCTTAAGACTAATTCAAAAATTTTTAGAAAGGAAAAAAAATATAATGCATCTCTTCAGACATATGAATATGAGACTTCAAAAACTCCAAATTATACAGCTAAGAGATTTTGCTTACCTAAATTACATGGCACAGAAAAAATAAAAATTCAACTGAAACAAGTGATTCCAAGATTAGGGACTGGAGTATATTAAATAAATCAAATGTCACATGACTTTCTGTTCCAGAAAAAAAATTAACGTCCCAATAAAACCTTTGACATGAAACAAATTGATTTAGAAACAAGAATTTGACAAGAGAGTTTCAGCCAAATGGTTTCCTTAATGAACATACAACATTTCATTTTATTTTATTTTATAACCGTTGTTGAACAGCCGACCCAATTTTTGGACTTACGACTACTAATGTTCAACTCCATAGCCTTGTAATTTTGAACCCGATCCAGAAGACAAGAGAACTCCTGGATCAAGTATTGGAAAGAATTTACCTTCTGGGAGAACTTTTTGATGAAACTAACCCGCATTTGCATTACATGGAGAGGAAGACCACTAGAACCCCCAGGGACAGGCTGACGGCAATGGGACTGTAACCCATGATCCGTCTACCACTAAGGATATATCACGTCGTCACTGTGGTTGGTGCAAGCGAGATTCGGAGTTGTATCAACCAGCCATTGCTGGGATTTGCGCCCGGTTCACCTCATTGGAAGGCAAATGCTCTATCCCCTGAGTCATTGCGGCTCAACATACAACATTTTATTTTATTTTATAACCGTCGTTGAACAGCCGTTTTAATTTTGGGTTTACAACTACTAATGTCGAACTCCCTAGCCTTTCAATTTTGAACAAATCCAGAAAACAAGGAAACTTCTGGATCAGTACCCCCATAGGAATGATTTGTTATGGGAACATAAAGAACTTTGTGACATGACAGATTTAACGTGCATCAGTCAACATTTACTACACGGAAAGTCTTTGGCCGGCTGGGATCGAACCCAGAACCTCTTGAACATGGATCCAGTGCCCTACGGACTTAGGCAAAAATTCCTTTAATCATAGAGCCTTTGGGTATTGAAAACTTTGCCCAACTCTATAATTGAGGAAAGTTTGGAAAAGCTGATGGACACTCCATTGAAATTTATGCTAATGTAAATATAAAACAGAGTGTTTGGTTTTAAAAAGAGAATTATTTTGGAGGTTATTGTTCCCACTCTTCAAATTTGTGAACTAAAAGATACATAAAAAATAGAACACTATTTCTCAAAGTTTTTAAATAAATTATTAGTAGTTTTAAAAAAAAAAGTGATACATACATTCCAGGCTACTAATATTCGACTCCGTAGCCTTGAAATTTTGAACCCAACCCAGAAGACAAGGGAATTCCTGGATCAAGTATTCGGAGAAACTTGTTTTCGTGGAGGACTTTTTGATGGAACTAACTCGCATTTGTGCTAGATGGAGAGGAAAACCACTAACTATCAACAGCTATTAACACTAAACATTATGCAGTACTGGCAATAGCACTATCCGTTGAGGAAAAAGAGAAGCATTTTTGACTTAAGCGGTTATTTTATCAACAATTTTTTTTAAAAATTTCGTCAGCAAATACGGAAAAATTTGAGAATAACAGGAGACTAGGCAGATATGGCATTGCAACCAATACATCTATTCCATAGACAAAATGTTATTTTATTGTCAGTTAGAAAGTCTGAATGTTCATTCCAATAAAACATGAAATTTTTGTTTAATTTTTATATAAGAAAATCACATTCAAAATAAGTGTTAAACATTTTTGCTCTTTCAAACACTTTGTTTTAAATTAACAAAAATATGAAAGCTCTCAGTAGTAGTAAAGATCATAATATTTCTGAAAACACCAAAAATATCTGATGTTTTCATATACATGCAAAATTTTAGTATATTTTCCGTATAAAAATTAAACAAAATATTGACAAAGAGAAGAAAAAGTTCTCAAACATTAAATGTTTTTACTGTCACCGATATATAAGAATCTAGCTGAAGTATCAGGTCATTTTTATTTTACTAACATTTTAAAACCACACTAATTCACTCATTTCTTTTCGTTAAAATATTTGAACATAAAAGTAACTTTTCTGCGTTGTTAGTGCCTAATCACTTGCACAGCTTGGATTGAAAAAAATCTAAAGTTAGAAAATATTTTTTCTAACCTAGCTGTTGAAGAAATTAGATATGAGGCTGGCCAGATGCTTATAAGAAAATCACATCAAAACAGAAAAGTCTTCTGCTTGCAATGCATTAATAACATAAGTAAATTTTTTAAAAAGGATTCAATAAATTCATGACTCATATTTTTCTTGTTTGAACTCTCTTTTTTCGTTAAGTAAAGGAATTAATAGTTTTTTTTCTTTTTTTGAAGATAAAACTTAAGGTATTTGTATTCTTCTTGATTTTAGTATTGCTTAGAAATAAGAGCTATCTGGATATATATTATTTAGCAGAAATGTATTTTAGTAATCAGCATAACAACATATGCTTAGAAGAGAAATTAAAAATTTAGAACAAAGTAGATAGAATAGCAGAAGAAGAATATTTTTGTCAAAATAAGTTCTGCATTTATGAATAAATACTTGCTGTAATTTTAGGTACTTATGATGCAGCAACTTCGTGTTTAGAAGTGTAATTTCATTTAGACCACACGGTACGAGTCCCCATATCAAGTGTCGACTATATAGTTAAGTACCTATATATTCGACTCTAAGCAGAAGCCTAGAATCGAAGGAGCAAAAATTCGTAAGTCAAAAGCTCAGGATGAATACTTGTTGGGTGGGAAAAAGTATCTAATTTGACTAGAATACATTGTTTTAACAAAAACTTCACATAACAAATGCATTGTATGGCACAAAAGATGACATTGTATAAGAAACACTTGAAATCAAATGTAATAGTGGGAGAGGACAAAATCATTTTCAGAACATAATACTGACAGTTTGAGAAATTATAGGTCCATATAAGTTTGTAATGCTGGTAAAGCACTTCTTATTAGTCCTCATTCTAATTTTTTTTTAAAAATTCCATGCTGTTGACCATTAAGGCACTGAAGGTGTGATTGTTCTCGTTTTCTAGTCTATGCCCAAGAATTTTGACTTCTGCCTCGCCCATATGCAGTGTTGCCAAATTAGGGGTTTACCACCGAAATTTAGGGGGATGTTTTATCTTCAGTGGGTATTTTAGGGGAACTTGTTTATAGAGGTTTGTTTTAGGGTTATTTGTGAATTTTACTAGTTTC